GAAAAATTTGTTACTAGGCCTTACAAATCGGCTATTTTATTCCGGATTTTCGTTCAATTTGTCATTTATAAATTTAATGCTGTTGTTTGTTTGATTCACTTATCAATTTATCTTTTGGCCTACTTCAGGAGCATGATGATTATCTGGAAGCAATTCGTAACAGTCAGAAGGAGCAAAAAGCGATTGTTGAATTAGCAGTTGAACGTCAACGAAAAGCACTAGTAAATGAAGCCAGTGCCACTGCGAGCAGCGATGTTGTGCTTAATTCGCCCGATATATCCAACACCACCGAGGTTAATCTCGACTAATTGACAAAGGTTTGTGGCCAAGTTATTCCTTGTTATTTGCTTTGCAATTCATTCAACTTTTTTTGTAGACGCATTTCTTCTCGCCGTTTGATGGAGCTAGCAACTTCTCCATTCTTCTGTATTTTGGGCCCCTTTCATTCATACAATTCTCGTTAAAATACCGTTTAACAGCTTTTCGAACGTATATCTATCTCTTTCGCTCCTGGAGTAAAAATTTCCTTTTTTGGGAGCTCTGAAATTGTTTTTGGTCAAAAAAAGTAAGTGGGAGGCTGCCCATGATTCAACCTGTTTTCCTCATCTTATCAATAAAAGGATGCAACAAAAATTAGCAATCAAGGGCATTAACAGTAAAGTGTTTATTTGCTTAGTTTCGGAACGGTAAAGCCAGAATGAAGGATTCGGACTGGTTAGAAGACTGATGGGTTTTCTTCTTCTACTTTCTGGGACGAAAACTAGGGGAGGAGGGGGGTGGGTGGGGAAGAGAGAAAGGAGGCGTCCTTGATTTCTGGACTAAGAAATTTTCTGTTTTGATTCAAAATAACAGTAATGATTTGCTGACGACAGTACATAATTCCCATTTGGTTACATGCTGGGTGCTTGAAATGGCTACTGCTTCACTACTGACTGTGTGTTCAAATTCATTACTTCCCCCAGTGATGTAGCTGATAGTTGTGCCATTTTCTTTGTTCTTCATTACATAGTCCCCCCGCATGAGACTCGTATTTCAGCGATGATTTTCGTCATCCATCGTGCGGTTTTTCGACGAAAAATCGAAAAAATTGCTTACGCTCGTTGCAACGAAGGCCAATAGCCCAGAAAATGAAAGCCTATTGGCATAGCACTGCTCAGCTTTTCACCGCATTTCAGCGACTTCGAGAGCTCTCAGCTGTCGCATACTCGTGGTTTCATTATTGCTGCTTTTTTGTTA